AGGCCAATTTCAATCATCAAATAGTTTATTATTAGGCCTGTTTAGATTTGTCCATGGGATCAGAAACAATAACAATAACAAAATCGTAAGTCGCAACTATTACATACACTAAATTATATTTATATATAATATACTAATATAACTGAGCATAAACCAATGGGTTCCGATACCCGAAATCAAAACCACTAATTGAAACTCAATTTTGAATATTATTAGGCCGATTTCAATCATCAAATAGTTTATTATTAGGCAAAATATTAGTGCATTGTAGAGAAAAAAAACCTCCAAACATAATTACCAGATGCTGAGATCTCGGCAGGGGTACAAATTCGACGAGCAAACTTTGAAACAATATTACCAACATGGAAATAATTTTGACTATAATTCTCAGATACTCTGATAAATACCTTGATCTGGAACTCTGATACTCCACATGTGACAGCAACAATAAGTCATCCACATGATGCCAGTGTGTTGTCAAATTGAGATTATTAAAGACGGTTAAAAACTGCCTAAAAAACTATTTAATAGAATTTATTATTCTTTAACTACTAGGTATAAAAATTATGGAGTCATTTTTTTTACTATTTATGATTGTACTCATTTACTTCGAGTTATTAATTTGGATATTAGAATATGTGACATCTCAAATAATCTTCTCGAGAGTTCAATATTTCCATCTGAAATATACCTTAGATAATCATATGCACACGAGTCTGAACCACGTCGAGTTAACTTGAATGTCAAAAATATTTTTTCATAATATTAATATTAAAAATAGTTAAATAAAAGAAAATATAATTGGAGAACAAAACTCTTTACGAAGACCATAAGGTAAAGAAAAGGAACTCCAAAGCAGCTTCATTTCCCAAGTGGAAACTGCATCATCACCGGTTACTGCTACTATTATTATTATGTTCCCACAAGGCATAACTCAAGTTACAAGGTTGCATCTGCAATGTAACTTAAATACATTACACAACCTCCACTCGTTGCAGCGAGCATAGAATAATGTATCCCACTTTGGCATGTCTATCCCACCATGCGAAGGGGTTGAATAGGCAGGGGTGCGTATCGGCTTATGTATTATCCCTTTCTACCACTTCTTGTAGCTTTCTTGGAAATGAGAGAAGCGCAATTCTATATTTTACGCCATGTCAGGCACATTCAACTCACTTTAACAACATCAGTTACATTTAGAGGGACGGGGGATGCTGGTGTTGGTGTTGGCTACGATGGAGGAGGGTGGAGCACATCATTTGTTGGTGTCTTCACATCGTGTCCTTAGAGTCGATGTAGTTTGGTCCGATCCCGATCATGCGATGGGGTCCATGTGGATATTCAGGATGCCGATGAAAGATAAGGTCGGGTCAGGGTTGACGTTTCCACGGTCGACTTGAGGTGGGACTTGGATTTTCACTTCGGCATTGCCTTCCTGCATAGAAGGTCAACGTCGGGAGGGGAACTTTCGATTCGATCCCTCCGAAACTTAAGTCAGTATCAGGTGAGTCTAAGAGTATTTTGAATATCTAAGGTTCTATCCTCTGTGCTAGTCAGGGGGTTGATATTTATACATGTCACGTGACATCATTTTGTACGACCACACATCATCGCGGAGCCTGTTGCGTCCCTTTGAATTCATACCATGCGCGTATACCTTGCTGACCTCGAGGTGTCATGTTGACTTCGAGATAACTACCGACTATCATCGTGGGGATCTTATCGGAATCAATTTTAATTTCTATTATTCTCCTAAAGCTATTATCCATTTATTACTCTATTACTTTTGCATCTCGTTGAATTCGGTGTTAGCCAATACCACATTTATTTACTAGGATCCTAACAGTTGTACGTTGCTTACCAACATACTGTCATAGTAATTTTCTATTCACTTGGAATGTATTATGGTCGCTACAGATCCTTGAATATCCTTAGTTTCTTTTTTATATACTATTTATACCTTTTTTTTTTGTTGTTGTTGATTTTGGCTTCTCTCTGATATGTTAACAGAGAATTTGATTATTTCACTAGCATGACACTCCAAAATCTCCTATTTGGAATTCATATATTTGAAGGGGATAAAACCTAGAAAATATTGAACATGACATATGGTCGAGGCACTACCACTAATCGTCTCGTGGCACATACATACATGATACAGTGCATTTGGAGTATTAGGAGAAAGTTCCAACTCCAACAGTAATTCAGAGAACCAGTTATGAATCTATTGTTTACTATCTCTCTATGAAAATTCATGTCATGTCATGATACGATTAAATTATCAAAACATTTTAGAGTGAAATCACCCACAACACAGCTCACAATGCAAATAATTACAGACGTCAGTTGGGCAAAGGAATACCTTAAGGATCTACCGTTGAAGGAGGAAGATAAAAAAATGGAGGACGATTCGTGCTCGTCATAGATGGCACGAAGGCGAGAGAGAGAGAGAGAGAGAGAGAGAGATGAGAGGTTGCTCAAAGGAGGAGGAGGCGAGAGTGAAAAGGTCCTGGTAATAGGACCACATGAAGGAGGACATGGCGACAACGACCACGCAAAGGGCAGACTTTTTGACTCGGAGAACATCGATCTCTCGTTGTCTGAGAGGAGCACATGCCTAAGGCCGCCAAGGTGTCCGACAGTAAGGCACTCACCATGTTTTCCTTCTTCGTCATCCTAAACAGTAACACTCATGATGAGGAAATAGTTTAATCGATCTCTCTCCAATGGTCCTCCTCCCAGACTTCAAAGCAATGTTTGCCTAAGCAAACGCGCCACCATACAAATCACCTCGCAGTGCCTCCATTCTACTACACGTCTCTCTCTCTCTGCGAGCTGTCGCTACCTCGCCTCCTCTCCCTCCAACGTCGGAAAATACGATTCAAGAAAATGCACGAATCATAAAGTTGGGATGTCAAAAAGACAATTAACCAGATGATCAAGTTGGAATGTCAAATACGATTAATCAGATGTCAAAAAGACTTGCCATGATTGAACTTATATACTAAACAATCCTTGAATTGCGAAAGACAATCAACTTTTTTCATAAAAAATAAGTGATTTTGAATGAAAATTAATGATGTTTCTATATATTTCAAAACAAACTATGATAAATCTTCAATTTTTACCTTGAATCGTATATAATTTTTGTTTCTTCACCAAAATTCAATTTCATGCACCAAATTAATCTACTCCATTAAACTCATAATCTAATATAATTTTTGCGTGACAATAATCTTATATATGGCTTATATATTATTTCACATAATATATAAGCCATATAGGCGTCCCAAAAACGTCATATTTATTCTCATGAGCTACGATGGATACAAGGTAGAAAGAAAAAAAGAAACATGAGGCGCACAGAGACAAAAGGATGCCTACTACTTCCATCAGTGCCGCTCTACCAAAGCATAATTTTCCTCAGCATAATTAACGACATAAATACATATCTGTCCAGTAGACAACTAAATAGAAGAAATAATCTAGACATAATGCAACAAAAGATAAACCTTGTAAAGCACAAAACTTGATTCCCCCATAAAGAATCCCAAAGGGTTTTTCCAGATAAACTGACAGCAAGGTATAAGAACAGATCATTCCGAAAAACTCAATGCAAGACCAGGCCCCCCATGACTACACTCTGGAACATACCAAGGGTTTCCAAGATAAAAACTGACAGCAGCATATGAAAACCAGATCATTCCAAAACCTCCATGCAGAAATGCCACAACTACATCCAACAAAAATAATTCGTCCAATATTGAATGTGTTACTGTTGTTTGCACTCGGCTGGCCGGTCAGCTTGCTCCCCTCCGCTCTTCTGCATTTTCACAAATAATCATTTAGCTTTAGCGAAGAAATGACCAGAGAAACTCAAATGAAGGCTACGATTGATATAAAAGAGGGGACAAATACCGCACCTTGTGCCCTGTAGCCGACTGTTTGCAGCAAAACAGAAAAAACAAAAAACAGAAATCAGCATCGGGTACTCCCACGGTACAAGCTTTCAAACAGTAAACAAATTCTAAAACATATTGGACAGTCACCTTTTTCTTTGTCTTCGTTTGTTCTTCTTCATCCTCATCCTCGTCCTCATCATCGTCATCATCCTCGTCCTCTTCCTCTTCTTCATCATCATCCTCTTCTTCATCATCCTCCTCCTCTATTTCCAGTTCATCATCATCTTGAACAGCCTCCCCCGTGAACCACGAAACTGCATGAGGAATTATCTTGTCTTTGATTGTGGACCTGCAGATCAACAATTTTACTGGCTCAATATGCCACCAACCAGGAACTTGACAAGAGAATGTAGAATGACAATTTATAATAACTGGTCCAGGCCAAGCAACACAACAACTGCCTACTGCTCAAGATGTTCTTGAATAACACTGGTAACTTCTGCCTTCAAGAATTATGGACACACTCATCAAAGAGATTTATCTATTTTATTCACAGCGCGAAGAACCACTAAACAGCTAAACTAAACAGATAAGCCTTACCCAATATCGTAATCGACTTCCATCTGACTCTGTAATTGCTCAGCCTGTCAAAAGAATGACAATGAGGTTAGATGTGCTTTTACTTAATTAAAATTTTCTCCAACAATTTTTTTAAGGGATAAAATCTTACAGTCTCTTCATCGATATCTGCATCATCATCAGGTACTTCTGGTGGATTAAAAAAGTTAAAAAAACTCTCACAATCTTCAGTTTTTGTTATAGGCTTAGCATTTTTTGAACCCTTCTTTGGCTTCTTTTTAAGTATCTTTTGAGTCAAGCACTTCCCTGGAAACCACTCGATCTCCGTCCTACAAAGAAAAGCCAACAATTTGAGAAAATCCAGTAGTAAGTCAATGCTAATTAAAAGAAATTTTACCCGATAGCTTTCTCTAAGATTGGTTCATCTTCATCGATCATGTGATATGTTTTTGTCAGAACAGTGTTCTTAAAATAAGGGTTAGGATCGAAGAAAAATTCAAGTTTAAAACCCTTGGGATCATCAATTCTGCACCACTTTATATCCTTTAGATACTTCAGAGCTTCCTCATCACGCTCTTGAATCTGTACAAAACAAAAACTAATGTACCTGACAATGCTAAAAATAAGAGAAAAGAAAAAAGGGAACTATTTTAGACTCTGTTACCTCCTCAGCTAACACTTCATTTGTTTTCATAGCAGTGAGCCAAAATCCAGGCACACCTTTTTCTGAGGCGAGAAGAAACATAATAAGCATTCAAAAATAATACACACTTACTGGAGGAAAAAAAAAACATTAAAGCATCGAAGGTGTCTAAAAATACCTTCACTAGCTTTATCCTCAGAAGGGGTTTCTTCTGTGGGTTCGTCTTTAACACCTTCAACTTCGACTACACCATTTACAATCTCATACCTCTGTTCACTCCAAGTGGAAAGGATGTTATAAGAATAGTCATAATTTGTAACCTCAGTAAAAGAAGTAAAAGGCCAAACAAGAGTGAAAAAAACATAAGCATTAAGCTTCCCCATGGAAGCTTATATCCAGAGTTCACTGAAAAATCATCAGTTACTAATCATATACCTTCACATACAATGGCTCATAAAGCTTCTGGTATTTAGCTTCAAGTGCAGCCCTCTCCTCAAAAAATTTTGCCTCAAGTTCATCATGTTGGCTCTAGAAAATAAAAAACATAGATGTTAATACAATTTCATATTTGTGAAAGTCTAAAAACAATCTATAAATGACAAGAAAAATCAGCATTCATGAATGTATGTATATCCATAATTTTGATGTTTGAAGGGAGCAACACTATCTTAAGATAATTTTATATTGACACAAGAAGTACCATGATATGGGCCAAATACTCCTAATTGGCAAGAAATCTGGAGAAGGTAGAATATATAGTCTGATCAGACATGTACAGAGGTGATGATCTTTACACCTATGGAAAATGAGGAATGGAGTCAACATGACTGCGGTGGAAATAAGAAGCATACACGCGAAAAGCATTTCTGATATGATACATCATGCCCATTTCGATGTCACCTAAGACAGATAAGATTATGATTTGTAGGACTTATGGTCAGAAATATAATAGGTTTGTAGTCAGAAATCGATGAAATTAGCAAAAATAGACCAGATTTATCTGAAATTGCTGATTTTGATCAATCCTAGCTGATTTAACAAACCAAAAAAGAAGAATGAAAAGATGGGATGAGCCAGAGGGGAAGAAGAAGAGGGACACTGAGATGGAGTGAAGACAAAAAAAAGAATGACATAGTGTATGTGATTGTACAATTATTGTACTCAATATCTGTTACAACCACGGAATTGCTTGTCCCTCCTTATTCATGTAATGTATGCAAAGCAAAAAAAGAACAGAAATATTCCCTTGAACCTCTTGAAGGGAAAAAAGATGATTTCTCAAAGAAGAAATGTGTCTCAATATACAACTCCGTGAAGAAATCTTTTTGTTTGTGCATTATCTCACACTTCATAACAAATAGATATAGAAGGCTTCAGTACATTGCCGATCAAGATAAATTACTAAATAACACAGTTATATTTTTATGAAAATCGTTCCTCTATGGAGAGATAAATGCTGACTAACTTCTCACAACTGACAACAAATTGTAGAACAGGTTAGCAGATTGAACAACTTGAAATAACAAATAGAAAAGTCATCCACAAGTAAACATGGTGGTTAAAAACTTAAAATCCATTAAAAATTTATATACTACAAAATTAGACTATAGGGCCTTAAATAGAATGAGAATCTTCCCTCTCAATGACTAGCATTGGCGTACTAAAATGATCCGAACCAGCAAAGACAGAGCAGAGCAGATCAGATTCGCTCGATCGATCATGTCCGCCTTCTTAAACACGTTATAGTTTAATTTAGTGAATTCAAATCTTCAACATACAACTGACAGTCAAATATCTACTCGAAATTAGAATACAGAAGATACAAGGAATCGTAATACTCAACAAGCGCCAACCAAGTGCCCAAATAAGATTCCGCCAACAAAATAACGTAAAACACAAGAAAGTATCATAGCACAACAAGATCCACAAAGCGACTATGAGAACTTGAGTGTCGAATAACAAGACAAACCTGGATCTCCCTCAACACGTCGACGCGCTTCCTGACCGCCGGTCTGAGCGTTTCCAAGACATCTGTATGCTTCCCCGCAAGACTCTGGAGCTTGTTCTGCGGCCCAAGAGAGCACCCATGAGAACACGTCAAACAAAAATCTTATCAACTATAAGGAAGGCCCATGATCGCACCTTCAGAGCATTGACGAGACCGGCTCTATCCTCCTCGCTAAGAGCTACACATCGATCAGGCTCCGGCGTAAGAATCATACAGAAATACGAGACAACGCAGAGAGAGAGAGAGAGAGAGAGAGAGAGATCGAACAGAAGAAAGAGGGTTTCAGGGGAGGGGACGACCGGCACCGAGATCGGCAAGATTGACGCTGTCCTGTTGCTTGTCCTTGCTCATCCTCGCTCTCCTCTGCCGCCGCCGCTTCTCCTTCTTCCTCTTCTTTCCCAAGATGAGAAGGCAAGGGAAAACCCTAGTTCGGGGGTTATGGGGGTAAATAGAATTAGAGGGATGAGTCGAAGCGATGCGGCAGATATTTATAGGCTTAATGATAAAATTTAATCAATTGAGCGAATACTTCACCAAAGAATCAAATTTACCCGACCCACCTTCAAGTTCCATTTGATTAGATCTCGTCGGGGTCCAAGAGAATTGCAATCACAAACGGGTGCATTTGTAGGTGACAATTGATAAGTACCCACAAAATTCATCGATTAAAATAAATGAGCCAGCGATTCGTCGACGCGATACTTTCGATACCCACTGTGTCGTTAACGTGTTATTATTGGATTGCAAACGGGAAGGGACCCACTTGTTCGCCCTGAGATCCAATCACTAAATAGGTAGGTTGATGAGTAACGTAATTTTTGGGTTTGACGGTCTCGCGCCTGATGAAGGGAAGCTTGTCTGTAATAAGCGGCGCGGTCGGTCGGAATCCGCCCTCTTATTTTCCTCGAATTATTATTTTTGAGAGTTTTAATTGGTGGATGCAGCCTGGCTTTAAGCAAGGCTGGCACGCTTCCTTTTCCAGCCCACCTTTAATCCTTTTCTTTTTTTTGTCATTAATTAATGAATATTTAAAAATAAATAATTTTAGTTCAGACATTTCTTATCGAAACTCAAAATTAAAATTTTAATTTTAATTCAGTCGTTTCCTATCCAAACAAATACTTTTTTTGATTATTTTATAAAAATAAAAAGATTTATTTGGTTTCAAGGTTTTATTTTTAGATATAGTAATTGAATTAGTATAGGGTATGTTAGACAAAAAAAAATTTAAAATAAGAGATACTGAAATCAAATTTTACTATAAATTCTCTTAATGCGTGATTCTCATAAAACAATTGGATAACAAAGTTATTAGAAGTTAATCTAGGTAAAAAAGAGCCAAGTAATTTATAAAGAAAAATAAAATTTATAAAATTAATGAGAAATAAAAATTCTTTTGGTTGATGAATCAAAACATTTAAAAACACTTTAATTAGTAGAATATCTAAGAAAAACATATAGTTTTGATCGGGCTTCTAGTTTGTTATGAATATAAAGTTTTAACTATAAATATAAATAACTCAGACACTCAAAAATATATAATTTACTATTGTTAGAAATAAATCTAAATAATTTTTCAAATGGTGAAACCATGTCAAGAATTGAAGTCGGTATATGATTAATAAGATAAATTTATATGATATATATATATGAGATCATAATCAAAGAAGTAATAACGCTTGAGTAAAGAGTATAAGATCAATTTGGACGATGTGCTGATAACAACATTCCAAAGTCCTATTATGTTTAACGGTTCTATTAAGTTTATGAATATATGAAGAGTAAGAAAATGAGAGATTTGACAAAGGCTTTGAAATTCATCGTCACTATCTAAATAAAATGAAATAATAGATCATTGAAAAAAACTTTTCAATAATAAGCTTGAACTTAAAAAAAATCATAAGTATTTTATATATTTTCTTCATGAGAAATAACAATATATACTTTGTGAAATGATAAAAAATAAGATGATAGTTAAATCCATTATAAAATTATATTAGTGAAGGACCTCAAATATCAGAATATATAAATTTAAGAGGTGAATTACTTGTGAGTGAGGATGTAGAAAATTAAAACTTGTGCATTTTATTATATTTACATAAATTATATCCACAAGGATGACAAGATAATAATGATGAAGGTAAATTATAAAAATAAATAATATAATTTAGAACCTTAAAAGAAAGATGTCATAAATCATTATGTCAAAATGGAGCTGGGAGGCTAAAACAAACATGAATTTGGTTTGAGATGCAATAGTTGACAACTTATAAATTCAATCTCTATTTAGATGTATCATTGTGATGAATTTTTTTATAATAAACAAAGAGTGTAAGAATTTAATAAAATATTTTAAAATAATATAATTTAAAAATAAAGCTTAGGTTTTTCTAGCACTAAGAACATCATAAAATAAAGATTTAGAGAAAGAGAGAATATTTATAGAACCAATATGAGTTACTTTAACACATTTATAATTTCTAATTATGATATCATCTAAACCATCATAATCTAAATAAATGGATAAATTATTTAAGTCATACATGACATGATAAGAAGCATCAAAATCAATAAGCCAATTTGATAAATATTGAAAGGATTAAGCAACAAAATGAGCACGTGATGATAGTAATGAAAATCATATGGTATAGCAAGATATATAGAATAAGGTGTGTACCGAAGTTGAAACATTATGGAATAACAATTTATAAGTGATGATATTTCTTAACAACATGATCTTGCATGTCACATATTTGATAAATGACTTTGTTGTTAAATTATTATCTAGATTTATTGACACTTTTATCATGGTATTGTTGCATGTTGCCTTCGGAATGATTGTTTGCACGATTATCTTACTAATTGTGTATCTTTCGTTTATTGCTAAAATTAGTATTATTAGCAAAATTGGTGGTTAATAGAAGCAACTTCAAAATATAGTAACTCTCGAATAAGATATGTTACATGGTCTGAAAATTTATCATAAAATTATAAGACAATCGCAAGCATGAATAGTAGTCGAGATCTACTTGTAATCCGAACAATGATCATTTAATACATGAAAAATAATATTTTTATAATCAAAAAAGTGCATTAGCCACAATGAATGCATCTACTTAAGTTTTGTTGGCCTACGTATAGTTAGAAATAGAGTGTGTACCATTAGAAAGCTTGAAGAGAGTTTGTCAAAGTTATATAAAATAACCAAGAGATTGGTTGGCATATATTATTACCGGACCGGATCTACCTAATGAGAGTATTTTATGGAGGCTATGTAGAGAATGATATAAGGAGAGAGAGGGAGAGAGAGAGAGAGAATGATAGTATTCTAAGTGGATGATCTTGACGGACCTAAAAGGCATGCTTAGGATTCACAACTTCAACATTATAATCTCTAATCATTTGTGAAGGGCAAGTGATGGTGTCATCTATATAATCCATAAGATTATAACAAATTAAAATGTAATAAAAATTAACTATTCCACCATTCATCAGTCATACCTACTGGATGTTGAGGATCAATATCATCAACATCATCTCCTCTAATATATCTCACATATCTCTCAGAAGGATGTGATACTTTGCCAGACCAATATAAAGTCAAAACTTGTGTGCTATGTACTTGAACAGACTCTAGTTGTAGAGTGGTGCTTTAGCTAGGTTCTCCAATCATGCTCCTACCGTCTTCGCCAAGAATGTGTTCATTCTCAATGAACACTGCTCTCTTGGCTACAAAGATCTTTTGATCATCGGGATGATAGAAATAATACTCACAAGTTTCCTTGGGGTATCTCACGAACTTGTACCGCTCCGTCCTCGATTCCAACTTATCAGGGTTGTGTTTTTTAATGTGGGCAAGACAGCCTCAAATATTAATAATATTAAAATTAAACTTCTTCCCTTTTCATATCTCATATGGTGTAGACATTACCAACTTAGTTTGTGGACATGTAAGAGAATGAATATAACATCTATGACTAGCAAGCTCAACCGCTCCTTTCGCTTGCTCTCCGACTTTGTGATGTCATGCTTTGCGAGAGAGGTGTCTTACAAGGAATAGTGATACTCATCGGGATCAGAGTGAGTGTCATTCGCGGTAGAAGGCAGTGTTGTGGTGGGCGACATTATGGCATGCACCATAAAGCTAGTGAGCTAGATCTACTGGATGTCACTCGCTAGCTCTAGGGCACATGCCACTATATCACCCACCACGATGTTGCTCAACACCGTGAAGGGCACCCACTTCAATCATGATGAGTACAACCATACCTCGTAAGCTACTTCTCTCACGAAGAGGTAGAGGTAGGAGAGGCCGAAGGTTGAGGTAAGGGAGAGCTAAGCCACCACGTCATAGATGCGACGTGTGAGTGCGCAAGAGAGGACGAAGTGGAAAGCGATAGGGACAAAAATGTCTAAGAGGAGGAAGAGGGACCAGGAGACCACTACATGCCTAGCATCGGACTAGTTGATGCATATCCACTTGAGGCAAGATCGAAAGCTCCTAAGCTCATTGTCGGAATGGGAGAGGTTGTGTGCGTGCAACGTCGTGCTAGGCAGCAACGACTTGGTGTTGCTATTGGGGTTGCCCCTTATTACTGTCCACACACCCCAAATAGGGTTGTAGTACGAGGAGGAGAGGGAGAGAGGAGGATAGAATGAGATAGTAAAAAAGAACCTCTAGTCTATGGGTCTTTATTTCCATCCTATTCATAAAGACTCCCTATTAACTTAACCCTAATAGATCCTGTCATATTAGGTAATGGATCTTCATCCAACTATCCAAGCCTCTTAAATTAGTGAGTCTCTACCCAACAATATCTTATTAGCTTTTATTAAATCTCATATATAAGATCCAATAATTCATGGGCTTATTATATATCCAATAAGATAAGGGCTCCGACGGATATATTATATCCGAACATTTACTCATAGCAATACCTACCATATGTGTATAACCCTCTAGGCTCAATATCGAGCTAGTCGTGAGTCATACATATCAAAACTCCTTATGGTTCAGTGAATTATTATCTCCATAATAATTCACTCGACTCATCGATTGCGGATGTACTAGGTCACTACACAATAGTCCCTAGATAATACAAGGGAATCCAATCCTTTGGACCTATATGTCCTCAGGTACCGTGTATTTCTAGTCCTTCATCTATATAATACCCCAAATGTTGTATATCGGGCATGGTACTATCACCCATATACATTTTGTTCTCAAGTCTCGTTCTAATCGGATTCTCTTAGAGAACTCTTTCTCTCTCAAACCAAATGACCCTAGCTAGGGATTTTCCTGAGCAAGAACACCTGAGATATTCTTCTCATGACACCGAGAGTGAATTATCTTCTATCAACACTCAATAGCCCTCGTAAGGTTGGCTACCACTCTCGATGATCGGCTGTGCTAGATCTGAAACATCTAGACCTATAAGTCCAGTATCAAATAGTGGAGTACTCATACAGGACATTCTTGGTGTCTCAAGTCCAAGAACCATATATACCATTGAGACGACAAAATCATTATCTAACAATAAGGCATCATCAACCATCCAATATTCCGTAAGCGGATCAATCGGTGAACTTATTCTCCAATGAGCACCTGCACTGTACCCCTAGTGTCCCCACATGAGCAGCTATGAGACCAATTGCATCCGTCATATAGATGGATATATGGCACACTAATCTGTCCGGTTATCTCGATGTCCCTTTTGAGTAATCTATACCCGAGATTATTTAGGATATATGTTTAAAGGCGAATCTGTCTCATTATTGTGATCTCATCATGATTCGATTCATATTGCACAGATTCATGAACATCACAATATATTCATGCAATATGTAATATAAAGTGATAAAATACCAAATAATAATAATAAGCAAAAAGACTGCGTGTTAAGTCACATGTGTCATCACTCGTGTGATTGACTTGTATAGAATCTATGACTAGTAATACACCTAAGAGGATGAAGAGAGACTAGGATATCACTATGTGCCTAGCATCGGACTGGTCCATGCACATCCACCTGAGGTATGACCAGAAGCTTCTGAGCTCATCGTCAACGCGGGAGAGGTTACATTCATATGATGACTTGTTAAGCAGTAGCAGCTTGGTGCTGCTACTAGTGGTCGCTTCCACATTGATGCCTCCTCCCACCATTAATGGAGGTCTCAGTTTTTTAAAAAACTTAAATTACATGTCTCATTATATTAATGGTTTATTATGGGTCAACTTGTTATGTAAGCAAACTCTAATATCCGTTAACTCATACTTGACTAGAGAGGTTTATTTATTATATTTTTAAAAATATATATGTTATTTTAGATACAAGTTAAACTATAGAGACTTAAGAGGTTAATTGTCAAAACCACAAGAGTTAAAATAAACCTTAACTATTTTTTTAACTTAAATTATATATATTATTATATTAATAATTTATTATGAGTCAGCATACCACGTAAGCAGACTCTTATATATGTTAACTCAGACATGAGGGCCTATATTTTTAAAAATATACAAATTATTTTAAATATAAGTAAACTATAAGGACTTAAGATGTCCGTAACCAAAACCGTTAAAAAAACCTTAACTATATCACAAGTTTCGAAAATAGAAAATTATTATAAGGGATAAAGAATACGAACACACTTCTTAGAAATACTAACATATATATAAAGTCCTATGTCATATGTTATATATCATACAAAGTATCATACAAAGAATACGAATGTCAACTATATAAGGAAACTCGATACAGTATCACTAACCGGTGGTGCATGTACAAGAAAGTTTTAGTTAACATGGAAGTATCCGATACTTAAGCCAACTTATGGAACATGTCAAGGAAGCCAAAAATAATACTTGAAGAATTAAGGTCTTTAATATTGATTATTATTATTATTGTCCTCATCATCATCTTAATTAGTATTTATTATTGTTATAGAAGAATTTAGCTGGTTTAATCTTAATTATGTAGGAACCATAAAACCTCGATCCTTTCTCTGCAATCTCTATCACTTAATTGGATGGAAGTTATTTCCGGTTTATGTCCACAGTTAATACATGTCGACTAAAAGTATCAAAGCTAAATAGTATGTGAAACCATGCATAGTAAAAATTGACCATGGTTTGCATATTAAGAAGGAGAACAATATGAGATAATAGACAATAGCACCTATTACTGTCGCGACAGAAGGAGAAAATCCACTGATGTATCAGCAAATCTTGTCGCTGTTTCTCCAAGATCTTCATGAATCTTTTGTTGAAAAGAAACCGTGATGTACTCAATTTTACGTGTGATATCATTAATCCATGCATAAAAAAAACCACCAATTATTGAAGTAGATCTCGTGTTGGATTCACTATGTTGACCATTGTTTCAGTCCATCGACGCCAACCAATACTTCGTTTTACTCGACCAACTGCAATATTATAAGCTGTGTTTCATTGTTCACTGACACGATGATTCTTCTTATATATAGCTAGTTTTCTTATCATACATACGAGATAGCTGTTTACATGATGAAACCTGTGCTACGTAGCTTGCCACCGCATGCATGCATGCGAGCAGTGAGTTACTGCACGACACAATCTACAACGGGGTGGTAAATATACGTTGACCTGGCGACAGCAGTGCTTTTGGGTCATATTGCCTCTTCAATTGAACGAACACATGCCACTTACGGCCGAAGTGCTTCCTCCAATCCGTCTCTGTGACGTACCGAGGCAAATACTGCTTGAACTCGATCCCTTCCTGATGGCAGAAGCTTAGTATTTCATGGTGTTGCTTGTCAAGGTACTCCCAGTTTTCCCTCGTCGCAGATGGCAACAGGCCTATCGTGTAGAAAACCTCTTCTTCGTCCGGGATCGCCGCCGATATCTTATCGTCCCACCTGCAACACAGTCATGCATGTATGAAAGATGTCATCCTTCGTCTTTTTGGCCAAGGTAGAAGAGAGTTCCACGTACTTGTTCTTGTTAAAAGGATAGATCAACACTAGTCCCACGGGATTGTTATTCTTAAGGATTCCCTTGAAGACCGCACTTTCGAAGTCTCGTATTCTGGATTTGGGAAGGAACAAGTTGAACCATGGATGGAGAACGTCCTCATGCTCCGTGGAGCTTTGTTTTGTGTCCTCTTCGTGAACTCTGTCGAGGAAGCCGATGTAGGAAACGTCCTTCGTGAAGGCGAAGCCAGGCACAAAGCTCAGCTGTTTGAGCAGCGATTCAACCTCCTGACAGCAAATCGACACTGTGTTGATACTAGAAACAAGACAAGCACAAGCATGAGACTGCTTGCGTGCGTGCATGCATCAAGGAATCATTCAGTCTTTACCACTCTGTATGAGAGAAGAATTATGGCGATCTTAGTATCTGAACAGTGACTCCTGGAAGGACATACGACGGCAACAAAGCCAACAAGATATCCTTCCAAAAGTTATGTACTAAAATTTCGTGTAATAATCAGTTTATAACATCTGACAGAGATTAGATTCCATGATATATGTATATGTTTCTAGGTGTTTACCTGATAAACCATGGATGCAGTGGCTTGCTCATAGTAAACAGCTCCTTCCAAGAGGTAAATGGCACCGAACTCATCCGCGAGCAATTTAACCTTCTCCGAGTCTTCTTCTGAGATGAAAGAAGAACTGCTAACATCCTTCCCCTTCAGTAGTCGTCCCTCGACATAGTCGAATCCCTTCTCCAACTTTGAGATCAACATCTCTTGGTCCCTCGTGAACATGTCGAAGTTGGTGTAGACGAGGTGCAGCCATCGGACCCGCTGTGGTGCGGGCTCTAAGGAGATCCGAGCTCTGGTGATGATGCCGAACTGGCCGAGTCCTCCTAAGACCCCATAGAATAGGTCCGAGTTCTCTTCACGAGAGCACGTTATCATGTCACCTTTCCCTGTTAGAGAACCATACGCTCAGCAGAACTGTTACAGTAATTAAGCTTGTATATGCTTAGGATGTTCCGGAAAGATGGACGTGGTACCGGTGATGACATCCAATTCGTAGACGTTGGAGATCTGCGGGCCGTGGCGGAAGGCCTGGCCACTTATGCCGGCGTTCGAGAGCGTGCCGCCGACCGTGAGGTGAAGGTAATCAGTCCACGAGCGGGGAGTAAGACCGTGCTTGAGGGTTTCATGCAGGACGTCGATCCAGAGTTGCTCGCCCCCGGCGTCGACGTACCAGCGCGGGGGCGCGTCATCCGATGACACATTGATCCGGTCGGCGCGGCCACGGCCTAAGGATGCCATGTCGACCACCACGCCGCCGGGGGCGAAGGCCTGGCCTCGTACGGAGTGGCCGCGGCCTCGGGCGGCGATGGTGAAGTACCGGGGGGAGGTGTAGGCGAACCGGACGAGGGCCGCGATGTCATCGGGGGACGAAGGACAGTACACGGCAGCCGGGGCGGCTTGACTGAGCTGGCCATAGTCGATGGAGAATTGTGTGGTGGTGTTGGGATCTAATTGGATCTTATCGACGATATCAAGGTCGAGGAGGCCAAGTGGAAGGGTGTCCGGCAAATCCACAGAAACAAGGCTTATGGCACGATAGATAGTTAAGAGGAATACTGTAGTAATGTGACTAAATCTTCGCGAAGCCATTTGCTCAGCGACTTGAGTGGTGGAGGTGAAGTGATTAGGCCTGCGATACCCCAGGCTTATTTATAACAAGAGAAGAAGGGAAGGAAGGGGGAGAGCGGTGTATGTGGACAAGTAATATCTCAGATCCTGCACAAAAATTCTTGATTTCACGTGCCGATTTGGTCAACAAAATCTAAGATAAAGATCGTCATCCCAGTGAAATGGCCCAGCCGAAAGATTTGCTTGTCTTCATGCATGGGGAATGCGTACGTATGGGATGTCCACATGAGCGGATAGTTTGCATACATCAGTCTCAAATCGAATAGCTGGGTAGATTCATCGGAATGAACTCTTTACAGTTTGTCTGGGCTTGTCCTGCAATCTCCAACGAGACCATGAAAAGCATGCCACCTTTCCTCCCTGCTCTTGTTCTATCTCATAACAATGAACATGGCGTGTCCGTGTTGACTACGTGCCCCTGGACCATCACAAACAACCAAAAACTAGACTGAGCTGTTAGTACAGCATCTGTCCAGGTAAAAATAAACGTATACGTATAAAGACATGGCAAGTGGACGTACCGATAGCATAGTTTTGATTTGCATGCATGATGGTGAGGGCGAAACGTACGTGGAATCGCTGACACCAATCTGGGATGGGAAATGACGCAAGCTGTCTTCTTGTGGAACATCATAGGAGCAATATGAATGAGACAACTGGGGGACAACTTAGATATACCAAAGATCCTTTGAGAAGGGGATTGGAGCCCACACCAACCCTCCCATACCACCATGCACATCACGACGCAGCCGGAAACATAACAGGACTCTTCGCCTATGATGTAATTTGATCTCGTTCGTGCATGTATTCCAATCTCGATCCATTCTGCCGTTAAAGCTGGCCAAATCTGACTTCACATTATCAGATCGAGCAGATGCACGGTGGGCCCGGTTTGAAATTATCGTCCGCCTCGTGTTACGCAAGGCATCACGTCATATACGAAAAACACGAAACAGTTTACTATCTATGCGACGTGTCGACCGATGTTTGGAGGAGTAATATGTGGGGCCGGCCGCCCAGCGGGATTAATCTCAACCATCAGATTGACTAATTTTTGTAGACAGATGGCAAGCTGCGTCCCGTCCGAGACGTGCTTCACATGACGTGGAACCCGAGATGGTGGGGCCGGCTAGCTGACTAGTGATCCTCGTGTCTCTAAGTCGTGCTTTGCGTCACAGCGGAGCGCCGTAACTTTCACGCAGGACGGGGAGGGCCCCAACGCCACCGGCTTCGCCAACGGGGAACACACCGGTGGACCCCTGGTGGGTCGCTTATCACGTCAGCGGAGTCCTGTCTGGACTTCATAATACCAAGTCCAATATAGATAATGAGATTCTTTAATCCTTTAAATAATTTCTAATCCATCTCTATCTCATCATATATGAATCTTTTTCCAACATATACTCTCGACTTCGATGATAATTTTTATCACTAAAAGTTAAAATTTGTGTCAGAAGTGACTTTGTCAATGAAAGCTATGTTGTCGTGCACGCTTCCACAAACCCATAATTCCATTCACATTATACATATGTATATCATCTGACAATTTTTCATATATATTAATTAGACATAAGGGTTTATGCGATTATTTCTAACGTTTAAAGTATTGATCAGTCGTTAAAATCATCTAATTATTATTATTATTTATATGTTTAGCTAATAAAAACTTGATTATGTTGGCTACATTGAACTCCTAACACCACTTAATCACTCACGTCGTTGGAACCCCGTAGAAAGCATCTGATGCAGTCAACCCTCCCCCTCCCCGAAACAGTAGTTTCTTCAAGTCTCCGGGAACAACAAGGAGAATCCCCACATATCACTTCATGTCCTCCATGGCTCCCTAATCTTTTGTGGGTCAGCACGAAGATACGAGTCCTTTCATGACGTATATCATGCACCATTCCTCGAGTTTCGGTAGCACATTGCAGCCGTGGAAATCTTATCAGCTGCTCCAAATTTCGTTGACATGATTTGGAATTTAGATGGATATCTGTAGATTGACTTGTACCCATATATATGATCCCATCTCGCCAATAGCTGTTCGGCAAATCCATCATCGTGATAAAGAGAGGCGAAATGCCGCAAAGATTTCGAAAGAGAAATGTGATCGGCTCATGCAATTTTGAGTGCAAATTTATAGCAGTGTTTATCCATTGTACCGGTGCGCGTAGAGATTGGCATGGTAATCGTCTAAATCTACGACAATATGTTGGGTCGACAGTTACATCTTGGTTAGATTCCCTGAGATTTTGGATGGATTTGGTGCTGACCAAATCTTGATGGGATTGTGGCTGCTGAGGCCAAGTCTCAAGAGAACAGGAGGGAGGCAACGTTGTCGAGCTGGAGTCGGGCTTTGACGATGACGTGGAGCGATGGATTGATGTGAAAGCTTGGATACTCGATCTTGAACTTGGAGGAATTTGGATTCTGGCATTATCTTTGAGTGTTTGCAACAAGCACATTTGGCACGTTAATTGGGACTCACCGGACCCAATCTTTGTACCTTGATTTGGTTGGCCACCTAATCGATCTAACCTAACAGTTGCGTGTTCCTTCCTCATATATTTCTGGTCTTATCGAAAGATCACATCTGGGCGTACTAACTAAGTAAATTACTCCCTTCCTCCCCCTTCAATTGCTCATCAAAATGTTATATAAATCCACATAAATTAAAAAAATTAAAAATGATTAATTGTTCAATGCCTTTATAAATATAATCATCAATTTAGATATCAAATAAAAACAATCAACAAGGATTCATTTCGGAATACATACATCGATTTTCATGTAGACGACTATAATTATTGTGTTCTCGAGTCAGCATGAATACAAAATCGATGAATGTATTGTGATTTAAGTCATGACAAATAATTCAAGAATTGACATGTCAAAATGAGACACGTTAGTCTCGCATCCATGCTGTATGAAAAAGGTCGTTGTTACACCGACCACTAATAAGTGATGAGAATCTCTCATAGATCTTGTGGTTGTTAGGCCCTCCTGACATGCAGGGGTAGCTTATAATTTGGAACAAAGCTTCTGTGATCAGATCCGCTTTAATTAGATCATGTTTGACTGCTTTTGATTAATTAGATTGTTATTAACTCGGAATTAGCTTATAATGTTGTGTACAAAGTCTTGTTGGCTTTTACCACATCATGAGGACGAGAGTCACTTTACGCTCAAGTCGATGAAAAGATATATTTTTATCAAGGTGAATAATACGTATATTAATTGTGGATGAAACTCAATATATATTATTTTTATTCTTTTAATATTTTTAATTTTAATCTCTCTCATGCGTAAATATTTTCTAATTATATAGAATAATAATATGTATCTCTCATCATTGGACTCTCGAACCAAAGTTATATTATAAGTAGTGCAGTCTTAGGATTCCAAAACTATACAAAATTTCCATTAGATCACTTTAAATCAATAACTTTCGATATGGATAGGTATTCCGTCCTCACACCATGTGAGAAGCACAAGTAAAGGACAGTGCTCATGGGTTAAGGCTCAATGTGTTTTGATGAGTCAAGTAATGTTTCTCGATGATAAGAAAATGAAAATGATTTGAGGAGGAGAATGTGTTTTGTTGAGTCAAGCACGCAAGTGGCAATCGGCCACAGCTCAATTAGCAAAAAGGAGAATTAATGGAAACCCTGTTTTGACTGTCACTATAATTCATTCTTCTCTTCGAAGCATAGTTTAAAGATCAATTTGGCATTAATAAAAGGGTGGGAGAAATACTTTATGTTGTCCCCATTCGAACTGAGAACCGTACGTTCATCAGTTTTGGCATGTCTGAACCCGGGAGAATCCATTGATGCGTTCGCAAATCTCTGGTCTCTTCGCCCAAGATCTGCTTGGATCTTTGGCACAATCTATGGTGATGCCAACAGTAGTGGTCCAACCCGCACAGGAAGGACATCATAACAGTCTGTGTGAAACGAGGTCCTTCCATTTCTTCAGAGCAGACCCAATGCTGTTTGCAACCCACCAATCCTATCACTTTCCTGCTTTATGATCAAGACCAAGGCATGCTAACAACGAAGGGCGGCCATGGCAGTCAAGTACTGTCATGAAGCTTTGATTACAATGTAAACACAAGACATGGTTACTCCTAGACGTGATCTGTGAGGGAGGACGTAAATATACGTTGTCCTGGTGATAAGAGTGCCTTGGGGTCGTATCTCCTCTTCATCTCTACAAACGTATCCCATTTGCGGCCAAAGTGGTTCTTCCAATCTCGCTGTGATGCGTAATGAGGCAAGTATTGCTTGAACTGGATTCCTTCTCGATGGCAGAACCCCAATATATCATCGTTCTGGTTGTCCAAATCTTGCCAATCATCGGTAATGGCCGATCGCAGCAGGCCGATGGAGTAGAAGACTTCTTCATCGGGGGTCACAGCCGACATCTCATCGTGCCACCTGCACAACATACATGCATCTTCCCCGTTAGTACACACAATAAATAACCACCCGTTGAGTAAGGGAAGAAGAAGACATGAACTCCGCATACTTGTTCTTGATCATGGGGTATATCAGCACTGGTCCCGTGGAATTATTGGGCATGAGGATGCCCTTAAAGACCCCAACCTCGAAGTCTTGTATTCTGGACTTGGGCACGAATATGTTGAGCCATGGGTGAGGAACCTCCCAAAGCCCCATGGAGCGTAGCTTCACCTCCCCATCGTGAACTCGGTCCAGGAAGCCGACGTAGGAGACGTCGTTGGTGAAGGCGAAACCGGGGACAAAGCTCAGCCGTTGGAGCAGCAGATGGAGCTTCTGTCAAGGAGCGAGCAGTGTCAGTGATAGAGATGACAAACTACCCCTGTGCCAAGGTCAAAAGCTATGCCCACAGGCGTGGAAACATGTCACGACCTTGTGGCAGTTTGGTTAACTACCGCAATAATAATGGGTCAGTGAGGGCTGCAAATGTGCAACACAAGAGAGAGAGAGAGAGAGAGCTGAGCGAGGGGTGCATGCAGCAACATCCAACAGGGACACCCATGTTTGAGAACACAAGCATGAGGGCTGAGATGGGTTACAGCTCTGAATGGGTCATAGTCCTTGGTACTGTGGGAGAGAGGAACAAGGTTGGGGGATCTCAGTAGGGAGAGCCACGTGGGTCCTAGGAAGATATCACGATGGGTACAAGCCAACAGGTTGCATGGGATAGATAGGAAAGCAGCAGCGGTACTTTTACCTGATCCACCCGAGACGCCATGGCTAACTCGTGGTAGTATACAGCTCCTTCCAAGCAGTAGATGGCGCCGAACTCGGCCGCCAGCCCTCTTATCTTCTCCGAGTTCGTCTTGGAGAAGAAGGAAGACCTCCAGTTGGTGATTAGGGTGTGGTCCATCAGCAGCGATCCCTCGACGTAGTCGAAGCCTTGGTCCATCATGGAGATCAGAAGCTCCTGGTCCCTGGAGAAGGAGACGAAGTGAGTGTAGATGAGCCGCACCCACCGGACCCGCTGCGGCGCTGGCTCTAAGGCGATTCGAGCTCGGGTAATGATGCCGAATTGGCCGAGTCCTCCTAAGACCCCATAGAATAGGTCCGACTTGTTCTCATGTGAGCAGGTTATCATCTCACCTTTCCCTGTTCAAGAAGCAAACATCGAGTACGATTAATTGTAACAGTGATCCAAGACCGCTGGTTGCTGGTATTCTCCTCCTAATAAAGATGAGAATCGTCTTACTTACCGGTGATGACATCCAACTCGTAGACGTTGGAAATCTGCGGACCGTGACGGAAGGCCTGGCCGCTCACGCCGGCGTTCGACAGAGTGCCACCTACCGTCAGATAGAGGTAATCAGTCCACGAGCGGGGGGCGAGGCCATGCTTGAGCGTCTCATGCAAGACGTCGATCCAGAGCTGCTCGCCTCCGGCGTCGACGTACCAGACCAGCGGCGCATTATCGAACGACACGCTGATCCGGTCAGCGCGGCCGTGGCCCAAGGACGCCATGTCGACGACCACGCCGCCGGGTGCAAGGGCCTGGCCCCTGATGGAGTGGCCGTGGCCCCGGGCGGCGATGGCGAAAGGCTGAGGGGAGGAGTAGGAGAACCGGACGAGGGCGGCGATGTCGTCGGGGGCCGAGGGGCGGAGAACGGCGGCAGGGGCGGCCCGAGCGAGGCAGCCGAAGTCGGTGGAGAATCCGGCGGTGGCGTCGGGGTCGAGAAGGACCTCACCAGCGATGTCGAGGGTGAGGAGGCCCTGAGGAAGGGTGGGCGGCCATGGCCTGAGCTGGCCGACTATGGAGATGAGGCTGGTCACGAGGGAGACAGCCACGATGAAGGATGGTGGCAGGTGGCTGATGTTTGGCAGAGCCATTGATTAGAGTGTCGAGAGGAGAAGAGAGGGAGGTGGGGAGTATTTATAACGAGGGAGGGGAGGAGAAAGGAGAGGGATGGGTGTGCGAAAGCAGCAGCCTGAGAAGGGTGCAGAGGAGATCTTGGCGATAGGTTTGGGGACGCATGTTGGTCATTGTCAAAGATACGGAGGACGAAACCCAGAGATCGGATGATGCCGCCTCCTTTGTGGTGTGAGCACAAGAACAGAGAGAGGGGGCTGTAAAAAGAAGTAACCAAAAAGAGAAGAGGTAGGAAGCACATGGGCAAATGGGAAGTTGACTTGGTTTTTGTTGACTTCCCCCACCGTCTCTGTTCCTTAAATCATTGGTCAACAAGTCAATGTTCGGTTCAAAAGAATAATTAAGATGATCAATAATAAATAAATATATAATCAAGAATAATGGACTACTAACATAAATCCTCTATCGAATTACTCCAAATCGGAACATGAGATTTTTTTTTATTTCGTTGGATTTATTGGAAAATTAAAATTCTAAGCGTTCCTAGAGTTTTTTTTAGTTTAATATATGCATCAAACCTTAAAAAAAGTATTTATAGAATATTATAATTATTAATTTTTAAGAAATTTCTTTTTCATCAAGTTTCTCTACAAGGTGGTGTTTATATCCAATAAATTAACAATCGATACTGAAATAATACAGATTCTATATGTTGTGCATTGGATCTAAGGTAAAAAAAAGAAAAAAAAAATTTCAATTAAGATTTGTTAGGATAAAAAGGATATTATTATGTACAACCCTCTCTTTACTATTTATAATTTTATTTTATTTTTAAATTTTTTTTATAAAAAAATAAAATAATTTTTTTTCCTCCTCGTACTCGTCATCTTCTTCCTCCTTTGAGGACTATGTTGAAGGGGCAATGAGTGGGGTCGAGTGATATCGAAGCACGAGTTGAGAGGTAATGATCGATGACAAGAAACAAGAGTTAAGTGGCAGTGATTATCGATAAGGAGTATGAGCTGGGAGACCAACAATGACAACAGGTGCACAAGCAACGATTGTGGGGAAAGAAAAAAAAAATATAAAATTAAAATTAGTGAGGCTATAAATAATAAAATATTATTTATTTATTTTTTAAAAAAGTTATTAATAATAAGGTAATTGTCAATAGTAAAAAGGTTCTAAATAGTAAGCTTTTAAAAAAAAAATACTCACATAATAATAATAATAAATAATAATAAAAAAATAATAAATTCAATGGGCAATCAAACTACTATAAAAAATATCATCATGCACGTAGCATATTCTGCTGGATATCCATAGTCTTTTATATGAATTTACATGATAGTATATTTTTTACCTAATCTAAGTTTAGAAATATATTACAGTTATATTCAAGTCAGCATTATGAATTAAATCCAAACTCGCATTGAATTTTCGGAGTGATTGGAATCTAACACCATTTCGAATCCATATATCATATGATTCGAGTTAGGGTTGGATTGCGTCGGGCAATTGCATTTAATTTTCTTAAATTCAAACTCATAACTTTGCATCTTTCTAATTTATTCTTTTAATGTGTGACCTCATTCCCTTTTTCTCAATTTGCTAAAGCAAACTTCTCTCTTTTCTTTATCAAATCAAGTGTTCTAGTCTAGTTTTGGTCATCATAATAAAATTTATTAATTTTATTAGAAATAATAAGTTGTGTACATTTAATTTTATCTTCGATCTTATTATCAATAATTAAGATCTTTATCAACTAAGTTATTTGATATCGTATTAATCATGATTAATCTTGCCCGTCAAATCACTTTTTACACATAGGATGTCTTTCCATATTGGAACCAATTCAGCTTGATGCATTCATTCACGTTGGATTCATTCATTCAACATATTTATTAGTGTTCTACTGCCAAAAGCAAAAACAAAAAGAAACTTATTTGTGGGTTGACATATATGGTGTCTCATCAACTGGATTGGCAGAGCCAGAAGTCAACTTCTAATGTCTTCAAACAAGATTTTTTGCTAGATTCTCTGCGGGAGAGCCACTCTAAAGCTTTGCCTGTTCTCTCAAAGGATACTCACATGCTGGGAATCCAGTACAGCATCCATGTCACTCCTGAGGCTTGTGTGAGCTATCAGATCTGCGATGAGTAGGCATCGAATGCTGAGGTGACTGGTGACCAAATCTCTCATCATATTTTCCTGTTTTCCTGATGAGAGAATCATCACCACACATCATGTGACCTAGCTGTGGGTCCAGTATCCCAGCTAGCTAGGGTTTTCCTCATGTGGTACATCTTGTTGAAGACATGTATTTAGATCGAATGAATCGACCTACAAAAGTTGTCGATATTTGCGAGTCATATCGGATCAGACTGTGAGAGATCACATCACCTCAGGAATTCCTCAATCAACAATTTCCTTTTAATAACAACAAAAAAGGACTACTTGAGAGTTATTTTTCTTCAATTATCTTAAAAAAAGAAAGCATTTTGTTTGCTTTTGGTTTTATATTTCTAAAAGGAAAAAAAATACTGTATTTACGCTAATGTTTATGAAGATACCATCTTAACATAAGTCATTACTACATCGATAGTTAGGATACCATCTTCTTACAACTTAAACATGTAGGAACAAGTCATTACAAACTTAACATAAGTTTAAGGTTAATTTTGAGTTCGACCTTCTTAGCTGACAATTATCACTTTGGCAACATGCTGCACTCAGATTAGGTTTTAGAAGAAGATTAGTAATAGATAATAGAATGGTCCCTCTTTGTCTCCCAATAGTCCCTCAAGTGCAAATCTTCACCGGCTATATTCCTTAGAAGCTTCCTTCAGCATAGGAAGATTTGGCCTAGATATGCTACATGCCAAGGAAAGCTACACCGGTTTGTGGTATAGAGATTTAGGCAAGTTCTTTTCTCCAAGGAGCACCAAACCTAAGGCTGAACCGATAAGAGCAATGGCCATACTTGCGGTGTGACATTAACATATCCGATGGTGAAAGATGCCAAGTATCAAGTACTCTTGGATTGCTGAGCAAAAAGATCGATGAGAACCCAGTGAGGTAATCAGTGACAAAGCAGTCTCCTCATGGCTTCTGTCTGATGCAGTTGGCTTGCTTGCTTGCTTGAAACATGGACAGGGATCAACATGCAAAAGAGGAGGGAGCAGAGATGTCCATCATGGTTTGAATCAATCCTCATTGCTCATACTTTCTTGTTCTTTCAGAATCCATGTCGAGCAGTTTTATGGCCCTCAGGCCACCACTTCATCTACAGGAGCAATTGTCCTTATTGTTTGTAAGATCAATGCCCTACACACACTTATGTGGAGCCATAATGATAATATTGAGTTGGAGGAGCAACTGGCCACGGTTTAGGTTAGGACAATTAAAGCGAGAAGAAATAACATTAAAACTTCTAATGATCAGAGTTGATATAACCTATAAAGAACCATTTCATTTGCACATAACATGCAAAGTGACTGATGTTCCATTCAAACTACCATTATTCGTAGGGTTTTCTACATATTAGTCCCTCATATCCTTTTATTCTTTTAGAGTTTTAAGTATATTCGCCCTCACACCTCTAATGATGTTAATTCCATGATTTACTAATCAAGTGACCATAATGTGATGGCTGGGTTTTATAATGTTCTATGATCACTCCCACTTCCACTGTGCTACTATTATGAATACCATACATGCAACATCACAAAGTAGAATCAGAATTCAAGATCATATAATTGACTTTCTAGATGCACTTTTCATGCAAGTGGGGGAGAGCAATGACCAAGCACAATCACAATCTACTGGTTACAAGGAACAATCTACTTTCTTTTGCCTTTGATTAGGATGTGGCATTGCTTAGCATCTCATCATGGCAGTGCTAGTTAAAGGGCAACTAAGTTGCGACATTGATGGCCTTGAATAGAGCATAGAGGACACCTTGGAGTGAGCAAAGTGTTGTTGGCCACAGGAGAAGTTGCAGCAATAGCCCTAGGCATCAACTCCTTAAACATATATGAGCACTGAGAGACCAACTCTTAAGATACAGGCATGCTTGTAACCTTGTCGGATGCCGACTTGTGACCTGTGATTTGATAGATTGATAGGTAAAAGCTTGTCTGATTTGTTTCTCCCTCTTCAAGTCTATGCGTAGCTTGCGAGGTGACATCTAATCTGTACCTAATGCCTGGAAACGTAGTCACAGGTTGGTCATTCGGGAATAATCGATCAAGTTGCCAAAGATTAGAAAAAAATATTTGCAACAAGTGAATATTTGTTAGATTCTCCAATACAAAATTAACCATGCACAGAAAAATAAACTTGATGTCTATGATAGTTTGAACTAGTTATACAGGTCTAGTGATCCAATTCAATATATATATATCGAAGTTCATAATTTAATATGGATCAAGACTTGAACCAATATCAATATCGGCACATATCGATCTACAAAACATCGTCATATTAGTACGCATCGAGTTTTAGAAAAATCATAAAAACAGATTGAAAAAATATATAGTACAATACTTGTACCATCTTATACCAGAATGATACAGGACATTTACCAAGCTACCGAGAACTGCAGTATCGATAAATATCACATGTATAATATATATGTTGTATGATCTAAGTGTGCATGAATATAAGAATTGAGAAGCAAGAGTGGGAATCCTATTCATTTCTTTCTTTAGTTAGGGATGTCTCTTGGGAAGGAGACATGGAGGAAATCATCAATGAAGCGTGTCCTTGCCAATTTCCTTCCTATGTGCAAACCATGCACAATGCATGCTTTGAAGCTACTGTTGCACCACTTTGTCATGCTTCACTGGTGATCCACAAAGAGGCAAACCTTGGACAGATACCACTGTTCATCAACTTCCTACCATAAGATTGCACCAAATGGATAAAGGCACATTTAACACATCCTTTGTGTACTTGGAGGCGCAATTATTGGTGCTACTTAGCTATCCATGTCTATAAAGTGTGCTACATAACTTAAATATCAGCCAGTACCACTGATCCTATGGATTTGCCTTGTTCATTTTCAACCTCCTCCTAGGCAAATGAGCTCATGGTGGTGGTGTTGATACATACATGGATATGACCATTTTGTATGATTTTTGCATGATCTAGAGTCATGATATATACCTCTAAGAAGATTAAAGCTC